AGGTAGAAATTCCAAGATGGAGCTTTTTTAAAATTTCAAAGCGCTTGATGACGTTTCTGTCCTTTCGCGTTGCTTTATAAGTTCAGTTGTCTCTTAATCCCATCGTAATGAGCTGCGTAGTCAGACGGGATGATTTCATCAAACACTGCGTGTCGTAATCGAGCCAACTAACTAGATTGCTCACCAATGCACTTAGACTTCACTGACCCAGCATTTCGATACTTAAGTGGTAGTAAGAAAACACGTACGTCTCCTGTGCCTGGGTCTCCCCAGCCGCGTTAAGAGAAACAAGACACACCGGCTCAGCACACGAGCGTTCTGTTCACAATACCGAGGCAAAAAGTACGAGTCATATATGTAAACACTCAATCACCCACTCGATCGATCGCCTGATCGACCGCACTGAGGCAGGCGAGTCCCTCCGCCTCAGCTTTCAGCCACCAACACAACAAGCAGTTGACACTCCATTTCGTAACGGATTAATAGACATCATTCGATTTATCCTGTGGCAGTGACCAGTCCAGTCGGCTAGCAGCACTAGTGAGCCCATCAATGTTAGTTACCTAGTAGCTGTAGGCTGGACCTAGTGGCGGCTAGTCAAGCAGGTGTAGCTCCGACTGTTCATGATCACAGAGGGGCCACTCTATGCCTGAACATTATACCCGTTGTTCGCAGATACTCAGTAGCAGGTCTATGCAAGACGGAGAGAAAGACAGCCTAATGTGCGTCGACTAGTCGATGTGTTTTGCTGCTTCAGTCTCAAATATCATATCAATAAGTGCTGCCCTTAATTTGCAATATCAAGGAGGGAGTTGAACCTCGGGCCAGATGATTTGTGGTAGGTTAAAATCGCCCATAATCAAGAAACCGGCATGACCGATGTGGGCTCGGACCTACAACAATCCGTCCCGCGACTGCGTGGGATGCGATAAGCTGCACTTAAGAGCAGTTAACCGCATTTCTAATGGATCTGGTACCACAATTTCTCGCGCACGTCATTTTCACTCAAGCGGGTGGTTGGCAGTCTTCCACAAATCACCAAAGTTGATAGTTATTCTGTCATAGCAGAAGCATGGATAGCCACTAAGCAGAACATCCTTGGATGTTACCTAAGGATTCAAACAGGCTTAAACCGATCTAGTCTCTGGCCAATGAGAAGTAACGAGGTTGCACAGTTCGCCACGCGTGTCAGCGAACAGCAAACACTGGCGATCATAAAGGACGTTCGCTTATCTGCTTTTTTTAGAATAGAAGTTGTGACTGGAGACCGACGGACAAACTCCGTTTATACGGGCAACACAGCTGTAATTACTTAAGACCCTGTAGCTACATAAGCTTTACTGAATAGACTGACACGTGACGCTGTAGGTTCCGGTGTGTACCTTGCGTCTCCAATGTGCAAAATAGCGTTCCAGTACTTGGCCGACACACCACTGTTCCATGCGATCACTGACGAATCAATAGAGGAGCGAGATCGGTTTGCTTAGCTTGCTAGATAGATTCCTTCTGTTCGGCACGTCATTGGGAGGTCAATTCACTTGCAAGCGGATCCCGTTCGAATGTTCGAAACTCAGCCATCGATGAGAACTGCTGGAGTTTAACCTGTCAGTGAAATATAAGGTCTATAATGCCGGCGTTACGGAATGTATCTGGAAAGTGACAACTCGGCGCAGAAATAGAGAACAGTTTCCCATTTGGATCTACAACACCACCGTAGTATGGCACACAACCGATGGAAACGCTAAGTGCACTGTTTAATTGGGGAAGTTGTGGTATTCTATGAAGTAACCAGAATCGAAAATGATTAGGCGCAAGCCCAGTTAACAACGACACTGACGAAATGATGTCCAATGAGAGTACACCGCAAACCGTATTCAGTGAAGTCGATTATGCTAAGTTCGAAAGCACAATAAAACAATAAGGGTACAATATTGTTCAGGTACAATCACCATTTCCGCCGCAGTTCTAAGGTAGTTCCGGATATTAGTAATGTGGCGCCCTTTGTTCTTGTGCCTCTCAGAATTCCGCGATTGCTCTGCAGGTATGTTAGAAGCGTCTATATCCATTGAAGTTCTCTGTGGAATAGACTCAAACAAAGGATCGTTAAAATCATCAACATCATCAATGTTAGCAGGAGAATTACTTTCAAATTGATCAGAATGCCTATCATGTACAGAACAACCCGATAATCCAGATATTCGACACATACCGGAACCAAGGTGGTTGACGATTATTATAGTGGACAGTCGAAGATCACTACCAAAATGATAGACAACTTCCGCGGATTTCAGGCATAAATACCTGTCCTAAGCACGCGTCTCTTGAACTACCTTACCGGGCTCTCTCCGGTGGCCGAATGAACAGCGTTCCTGTACTGCAATAGGAAGTTGTCAGCACCTCCGTCATGCTCAACAGACGTTGCTGGTTTGAGGGAAGCGACTGCAATTTTAGGAAAAAGGAAAAAATTTTCTACAATACCATTGGATTGTGGGTGCCTAGAAGCACTTTAGAAGTGACACCAACCAACCAGTTTAAGCCACTCATCCACCTTTGTAGCACTGACAATGCTACCGTTGTTCGTAACCAATGCCATCGGTACTCCTTCGAGACTAAACATCTTACGGTAAGCAGGAATGGTGAAGTCTGAATTGGCAGATGTGGTCAAATTTACTTCTGGTCAACGAGGAAATGAATCCGTTATTATTATTATTGTTATTATTAATATAATGTTGTTGTTATTATTATTATTATTACATGTATTGAACCTGTGGGCTTTCAATCTCTCTATCTCACATGTAGCCCACAAAGGAAGGAGTATGGAGCTCAGCAAGGATTTGCGTTTGACGCAGTTGGGTAACTGAGTCGATGAGACCTAATACCTACGAGTAGATTGGTGATGCGATATATGTGACTCAGTTGTGCCGAAGCTAGACGCTAGCACAGCGGATTGGTATCGGAGACGGTGAAACAAGTCACCACGTGACTAACAGGACCCAAGTTAGTCGCGTTACCCGGGTGTAAGTTGTTTGGTGCGTGTCACCTCGCTAACTGGCATAACAGCCAGCCAAACTGCACGCATTTCAGGGTTGATTGACACATAAACCAATGCAAGTTTTGAGCCGTATTTTGTCCTGTAATGAGGCTTCGCACGCAAAGTTGCACCCAAGCAAAAACTTGGGATTTATTCCTGGCGTGCTCTATGCAGCTTAGGAAGGATACACTTCAATTGAAAAAATGAAAGTGCATGTAAAACCCGACCGATTAGGAGGAAAATTTGGTTACAAGCGTTGACGGCGATTTAATTATGGAAAATCATCTCCGCGGCTAGTGATATGAAATTGGTGAGGTTCAAAACCAGTTGGTATAACGTCGTATAAGATAAATCACATCTTGGGGTCCAGCAAACACTGCTGTTAACTAGAAATATTTCAGATACACAATACGAATGTATGTAAAAGTTACTCTTAAGTTATTGCTTTTCAGTTGAAGCTGCAATGTTAGTATATCTCACATGGACTTGTCGACTGGACTGGAGCGATGCCCTGCGATTGCATGTGAGTCGAAACTAGAAGACAAGTGATCATTGGAGCAAGATGGGGGAGGGCAAAGAATTGGAGAGTTGAAAACAGGGGAGGCAAAACTGAATTTGGAGTGGGACGATAAAGATGAAGAACTGCAAGAGAGCCCAAGAAGATGGAAAGGCTTGAGAAGTAACATCCTTACCCCTATCCACCCTGCTAGCTGCAGCACATAGGGTGTCGTTTATTCACCTCTTTGAAGGCCAGAACATCAAGAAATAATGTGGGGTGAAAAGTACATGATATTGCATAGGCAGGATACTGTCAGGTTGCCCTGGCCTAGACAGGTGGGCGATTCTGGTTCTCAACCAAAACTTTTGGTTCAAAAACCTGACCGCAATGCAGCGAGATTTCGGCGCTGCGCTACAGAGAGTTCGTTTTATAGAGTGAGGAGCCACCCTTACTCCAACCCCTAACCTGTGTTTGCCTGGTCTTTAACCATTGACTTATCTAGTATGAGCGGCCCTGAATGTGAGAAAAGCACCTCCCATCATAACTCAGTGGATGGCTGACGTACGCAAGCCATCGCACCACGTTAAGGCCCACTTTCGTCGCGATGGGAGCACATAGTTTGTTTTGAGTTATTTCGTCTTCTGAGTGAAACCGAC